TTGTATTAAATAGGGGAACTTGTCGGCAAATAAAAACGGTTTCGCAGACCCAAACGGATGTCATATGTTTTCCTAGTTTATTTGATTGAGCCTCATCCTCAAGTCTTGTGTTTACCCCTCGGGATAGATACAGGATTTGAGGTAGAGCGCTCTTTCATTTAAACTGTGAAAAATATGAGGTCAGTTTGAAATATATATATATACACACACGTAAATTAAAACGTCCCTTCGAAACAGGCGATGGGATTTCAATTCCGGCTGCCGACAGCTTCTTACGGGCGACACCCCCAAACATAACTCTTTTTAGTGCCGACAAACTGGGCTCTCCCACTGAGTGGGAGGCAAATGCAATTCACTGAAGTAGTTAATTTGAATTTGAGGGACATAAATACTCCTCATCATGACTTTTTGTGCCAACGAATTCAAAGTAAAGTTAAATTAACTCTAGTAATTAAATTATAGACCTTTTGTTTTGATTACTTAGATGTGCGATATCGTTTTGCCCCTTCATTTTTTCACATTGGTGGAAAGTATAAAGATATATTTCGTTTCTACAATCTTGATGTCTTTTAAATCCTAGTCTTATGATCGGGCTTTGGTGTCTTCCTATTTTTATGGTTGATGGATAGAGAGAAAATAGCAAAGCTTAATAGCATCGATGACCTTAGATCAGTGATTGGATTTTCCTGTAACAATTTATTGTATCATTTTCCATTGGTGTACCTGTATTACTTACTTTTGGTTCTTAAGTGACACCATTTCTATCTCGCAAAAGGTTTCAGATAACTATTTTGAATGAGATACCATCTGAACCTTTTGAAACTGAAGCAGGTTTCCAATGAACCGAATACTGAGCCAGCATTGCCAAAGGCTGATACTCCACAACCAGCAGAGATGCCTCACCCAGGAGTTGAAACTGCATCTACTCAAGTTAATCCCCAACGCAGCACTAAATTTTCTTCACATGCCAAATTTACCCCAACAGCTGAACCTACAGTACCTCCAAAAATTGATTATGCTACCGATCTTTTTAATTTGCTCTCTATGGACAGTTCAATGGGAACCGAGTTTGGGTCATCACCAAATGAAGATAATTCTTGGGCAGGGTTCCAGTGTAAGTCACCCGGATATTTATTAGTGCATAACTTAATTGGGACTATTTTTCTAATCTTTTTAGGTTACCATGTCATGGTCATTTTCTGTCTTTAAGCTTTTCTTTTTGGACTTGATCTTTAGTCAACTCGATCCATTAGCTTGCACATAATGATCTTTTCTGATGCACTATTGGTTATTATAGTTATAGTCTTGTGCTTATTTTGTTTAACTGCTCGCTCGATCTATTATTGGCAGCCGCAGAGAATAATATTACAACAAAATCTGTTGGAAACACTATGCAGTCTGCTGCTCTAATCGATGATCCATTTAAAGATTCAGTATCTGTGACACAGACAGTTGCTCCAGTGAAATCACAAGCAAATGTGAAGAATGATATAATGGGTCTATTTGAAAAGGTCAAACATTCACTTTATTAATATTTTAAATGTGCATTTCATTATTTTCCAAAATATCCTTCTAAAAACCATCGCAACATGTTCGTGGAAGTTCTCGTAGGATTTAAGGTCTTCAAATTCTCCAATCATAACTATTACATGGCAACTGGCAAGATTTTTGAGTTGATTTTAGGAAGTAGGGCAATTCTCATTGGAGATATACATATGAAGCCAAGTTTTAGGAACTTCGAAATCACATTTGTTCTCTGACAATATCGTTAGGTTTGTGGAGGAGACGGATTCAAATTCTCAAGAATTTATTAAACTGAACCTCATCACATCATGCAACATCTTTGAATTACTGATCTGATTTAGATTCAGTTACTAAAATTTGACCGCTCAATGGCAAGAGAGAACAATTAGGATTGTAGAAATGTTTTTTTTAGTAATGCCTTATAAGCATCATCAGTGTATAAAAGTTACACGTACCTCTTATCTTAAAGGCTGCTGCAGCTGCTCATGCAAGTTATTCGCCCACTGCATTTTTTTGTAATTATTTATAGACATGGGCAAAAAATGAATTACCGTGTTGTATTTGCTTAATTGTGCTGATGGTGCACTGCAGTCCAATATGGTTGCGCCCTATGCTATCCATCAACAGCAGCTTGCATTCCTTTCCCAGCAACAGGCTCTTCTCATGGCTGCTACTAACTCTGGTGTTAATCCTCCAATGATTCCATTGAATCCCATTCAATCTGGCATCAATGTTTGCAATGCATATAGTGGGGGTCTCCCAAGTCAAAGCTGGCCAACTCTTGGTTATTTTGCCCCAGGAACAGTGCCAGCGGTTGGGCAAAATGCGCTCAACAACTTTAGTCAGGTACTTGGTTTGAAAGCCCAAACCTGTTTCAAAATTTTCATAACTAATGCCTAATTTCTTCCCTTTATCCGACAGACTGGGAAAATTAAACCTACATATCCTGCAAGCTATGGATCTTTGCCTACACCCAGGCAAGCTACTTAACTTTATTACAGGCCCATATTGTATTGTTGCCAAAAACCAGATATTTTAGTGCTGATAACCTCCGTTTACATTGATTTTTTCTTCTTTTTGAGATCGTTACAGACCTTCATTTTTTTTTGTCGGTGTGCATGTATGCTAATGAACACTTAAAACTATGCAGCATGTACTCCATGAACTACTCAAGTACACCAATCAATGGAGTGGCCATTGGAGGAGCAGTGAGGCTTTCTACACCGGCTGCGTCTTCTGCAACTGCCACACAATCAGGCAAGGAGTACGACTTGTCATCGTTAATGCCAGGGATGCTCTCAAAGCAATGAAAGCGCCAGAACCGAGACTCTGATTTGGTTTAACTATTTGAAGGAAAATTTTTCTTGGTGGTCCAATGATGATTAAGTTAGCCGCTTGTCATGGAGACACTTCAATTTTTATTTGCCGGATTCATTTTATAGAGTGAGCGTCCAGAATGAATAAGGGACCTCCCAATTGTTTGGCACCCGTTCCTATAGTGTGCTTGTAATGGAGGGGCACTTACATCATTTAGATAGAGAAAGTTGAAGTTCTGGGTAGAGTACGGAAAGTTAAAATAGTAAAATTGTTATTCTCATAAAATTATTGCTGTATTTGAGGTTTGGATAGTCATGGATTTGTGCCTGTAACTTTAGATAACGCTCATCTCATACTTTGACTTGCCCAAAACATGTAATTATCAAATTTGATCATTAGAGCGGTGATTTATATTGTGCTCGTCTTGGGCTTCCCTTGACCCAATATTTTGCTTGCTATTCAACTCTGGATTTCGTTCATAATTTTAGACCAGGATATTGGAACAGGGACTTGTGCCATCAACATGATATTTATGGTTCATATTAATATCAATGGTGACAAACAACGCAAAGTGCAATTTAATTGGTTAAGAATCATCTGTTTGGCGCTCAGGCAGAATGCATCGAAGGGTGCCTTGTCTTTATGGAAATGATTGTAGACGGAGAAGTGGATTTTCTTACTGATCTCTTTGGGGAACAACTTTACATTTATTTACAAAGAGTTAAGTTCTAAGAACAATAGGGCAATGCCAGTAGTCTTTATTTCTTTATATAGAATAATAGACTGATTTTCACTTAATATTTGCTATTGCCTTCATTAAATTTTTTTTTTCTTTTATTTAGTCAGTGATGCAACTTCTTACGTTTTTTAGGGTTTTTAGGGACTGTTGGGGGTTCGTGTACTGAAGGGGTCCAAATGATTTTTTGTTAATATCATTAAATATCAAGCAATAAAAAATTATTTAGTTGCATAGAGCCACTAGGTTAAGTTTGCTCTTGAATATTAGGGTTTAGGGTAGAAGGCTTAATAGAACCTTGACAATTAATTTAAAGAAGATTGATCCAAGAAACAACAAACAATACAATTGATATATGGGGCATGGTGATTCATAGAGCCAAATGTTATACATGGATATTTATATGAATAAATAAATGTAAGCCATGCTTGAATACCTAACAAACCTAGATAAATAATCGCTGAAGTGGCTCAAGCTCTCATTTTGTTTGTACCCCTAATCTGAGAAAGCTTCATGAATAATTGAAAGACTTCAGATAAAATATATATGGAAGATTTACATGCATGCCACTCAATTCCTATATATTTACTTATCTAATGCCTAAACTGTATTTCTTACATACATACCATACCACGTTACATATACATGAAAAGTTGTATTTTACTTTTTTTTTTTGAAGTTAAAATTATGATATTTTTGATGTGATATGAAATATTCAGGTGGTATAAATGTCAAAAGGAAAATTTAGGTGTTGTATATGTAATTACATAGGAATTGGGCTGTATTTAAGTAAATGCCCCTTTATATTTATACACTATTAGATTGTGTGTTTGATTCTATTGGTAATTTTTTTTGTCCTATATTCAGTTGTTGAGTATTGAAATGGTAGAATTTTACAAAACGAAATAAATAGAAATGCTTGAGCACATTCAATACCCTCCTCACTCAGTTGTCATATCAACCCTTCATTTGCTTACATTTGCATGCCTGATTTGATTTTGAGTTTCAAAAAAATTCGTGACTTCAATAGTATTGATGCACGACCGATTTATCCTTTACTCTCTCTCGTTCTTGTTTAAATCATATGCATCTTAGAAGTGCTTTACAAATGAAAATACGAATCAGTTGACACTCGCCAATGGTATAGTGACAACATTGACCTTCCTGAGTGTAGTAACTTAAAAGGAGATTCCTATGGCCCATATAACAAATGCACCTCTCTCTCTCTTTAGCAACTAAAGGTGAGATTGATATTCACCCGGGAACACGTAAGTTTTGTTCAATCAAAAACCTGTGTGGTATTTTCTTTATTATTATTCGGTTATTTACAAAGCCATTCAAAATGGTTGAATTTGGCATATATTATAAAATTACTCAAGCAAGGATTCCAAAGCACACTTGATTCCATTTCTAGGATTTTAACTGAATAAGATGACACCGCAGGCTTTCCTCTCGAAACTGCAAATGAGTGGATATCAACAACAGCCTTAGAGTTGGTGATAAACAAAAAGAAGAGAGAAGAAAAACAGGAACAGCATTTGAGAGGAATGAGGAAGATAAGGTATGCTTAGTTGTATTATACCTGCAATTTAGAGAACAATTCCAGCAATTCAAAGCACTCTTCAATCAGCGGCTTCTCTTTTGAGACCACCCCCGCAAGTTCTGTTACCAAAGGAACCGTTTGCTGTGCCTGTTCAATAATATTTTAAGCTACATTATTTGACGCAACTGGCATTTTAATTTTATTTTTCACCATATAATAATAATAATAAAAATAAATTATACCATGGTATTGCATGCCGCTACATTCCCGTTTATTGCAGACATTAAGTTTGTAACCTTCCTTAACAAGATCGCGAGTATCTGAGGATCAGCCTGCATGCAGCGTGCAGGTGAAAGGCAACTGATTAGGCATATAATTATACATATATAATTACTGATGGATCACTTATTCTATATATA